AAAAGTTATTGAATCCAAAAACATTAGATGATTTGTTACAACAAGCCAAAAGAGCTGAATCAGATTTAATCGAACTACAAACAACTACGATTACAACAACAGATGAAACAGTATCAGCACTGAACTAACAAGGTTCGAAAAATTCATCTAATACTAACTCAGCTTTTGGCCAACACTGCAACAATTATGATCGTCGCGACGATATTCGTCAAACAACGGGTGCGTCCAATGATTCTTTCCAATGTCCACCATCAGACTACTACCGACAGCAACCAGCAGCATCATCCCAAATACTAACCAACATTATTTCGAAAATTATTCACGCGCTCGTCGTCCTTTCGATCAGCCTGCATATTTTAACAACAATAGCCAACAGCCACAGAGACGTCCTGCACCAACCCAATGGAGAACAAATTACGCATCATGCAGACCGTCGTCATCTGAAAGTTGTTATATTTGTGGAAAAATGGATCATTATTGTCGTGATTGTCCACAACGTTATCATCATTTAAACTAAATGCGGTGTCACGTGATGGTTGTGCCACCCTACATTCTCGAAACCTATCCACACAGCAGTCTCAACAGGAACAAGCACCATTACTATTCATTACCATCCTCCTTAATAATGTTAACACACTAGCAATGATTGATACTGGTTCCACGGTAACGGCGATTAATTCCTCATATCTGAGCAACATCAAGCATGACAAAATTCGCGGCATATCCACAACGGTTAAAACCGCAAATGGGGGTGAATTGAAGATTCTAGGAAAGGTGGCTCTCCACATGACAACAAACCAAATTACAACAAAGATCGATGCATTTATAATTGAAGATTTATGTGCAGATTTGCTGTTAGGCAGTGACTGGTTTCATCGTAACAATGTGAATATTAGCTATCAGGATAAAACTATCAGAATTACAACACCACAACAACAATCCACAACCATCTCCATTGTGCGACATCCCAATCCCCAACAAATATTTAATGTGACGGCAATGTCTGATTTTGTAGTACCATCCATGAGTGAACGCATTATCCAAGCAGCAACATCCGCACCACCAATGATGACAGCAATATTCACCCCATCATTAAAAATGAACAATAAACAATATGTTATAGCACCTCATGCTGTATTGAAAATACAAAACAACACCACAACTCTGGCATTGTTGAATACTACAAAAGCAGTTAAGAAAATTAGAAAAGGTACACACTTAGGTCAGATTAGATACCAAGGGAATGACAACTGTTGTTACATTAATATGGACCCACATAAGAACCAGCTAACACTAGCTATCTCACCTAAAGCATTTTTATCCATTACAACACGCATCACCGACCTATTGGCACATTTACCAGTTGACAAGCAACAACAATTACAACCAGTCTTATTAAAGCATCAAACGGTATTCGATACGTCCTCAACAACAACGATTAAAACAAACATTAAGCATCAGATCATCATCAAACCGCACCATCATCCAATACAACAGCCGTCATATCGACGATCAGCCAAAGAGAAACAAATTATAAACGAACAAGTAAAGGAAATGCTAGACAACCACATCATTCGTCCAATCGTTGACAAGCCCCTGGTCAAGCCCGGTGGTTATTGTGAAGAAGAAGGATGGATCACCAAGATTTTGTGTGGATTATCGCAAACTAAATTCTATTACCGAACGAGATGTGTATCCTCTACCATTGATTAACGATATTATCGACAAATTAGGCGGTGCCAAATATTTTACTTGTCTAGATTTGAAACAAGATTATTGGCAAGTTGAAATTGATGAAAAAGATAGGCAAAAAACCACATTCGTTACAAGTGAAGGTATTTATGATTTTAATGTTATGCCATACGGGTTGTCAAACGCGCCATCAACATTTCAACGAATTATCAATAGTGTTCTAGGTGATTTACGCTGGCATAAGTGTCTGGTGTATTTAGATGATATAATTGTGTACTCAACATCTTTCAAACAGCATGTTACAG